GTATCAGCTGCAACGCTGAGAGAAGTTCGTACGAGAAGGGCAGCTGTGAGCAACATATCAGCTACAACGCTGGGAACAACTCGTGCGAGAAGGGCGGCACAGAGCGGCACATCAGCTATAACGCTGGGAGCAGCTCGTGCGAGAAGGGCGGAAGTGAGTGGCACATCAGCTACAACACTGGCGTGCAGTGCATGCGAGAAGAGCAGAAGTGACCGGCGTGTTAGCTACGAGCTTGGAGCAGATCATGCGAGAAGGGGAGCAATGGGAGACCTATCAGCTACCCCGCTGGCAGTAGCGAGAAGAGCAGGGGCCGCAGGCGAAACCATTAACCTCAGTACCCGCCAGAGGGAGGGGCAGCGGCCGAGCATCATCAGCTTCAGTGCTGCGAGTAGGTGGTGCGAGAAGGCAGGCAGTGCCAGCACGGTCTGTAGACCATGCGAGAAGGGCGGCAATGAGCGACACATCAGCTACAACGCTGGGAGTAGGTCACCCGAGACGGGAGTGAAGGACGCATCAGCTACAACGCCGGGAGTAGTGCGTGCGAGAAGGGCGAGAGTGGGGTGGGCGGCACATCAGCGAAAACGCTGAGAAGTCTTGAGAGAATGGCGGCATTGAACGAAAAACAACGACAACGCTGGAGACAGCTCGCACGAGAATGGCGGCACTGACCGGCATATCAGCTACAAAGGCTGACGCAGTTCATGAGAGAAGGGCTGCAGTGACCGACATATGAGCTACAGCGCTGGGGGGAGGTCGTACTAGAAGGGCGGCGAACTGGCAGGGGGTGCGAGCGTGCACGGCAGGTTCGCAAGGAAGCTGGAGCGGCGTCGTCAGCTTTAGCAAGGAAATTTGACTTGTCGCCCCGCCTCATCACCCAGGGAAGGCCTGGGGGAAGGTGGTACGTCCATGCCTGCGCTTTAGTCGGCTCGCTGGCTCCTGACTCGTCGGAGTGCTAGATCGATGCTAGATCCTCCTCCTCCTCCTCATCATCATCTTCATGGGTAGCAGCATTCCTTGCCTGCAGCCATCACGCGTTCCCGCGCACGCGCTGAAAGAGGAGGATGAGGAAGACCAACGTAAACCCAAGACGCATCAACGATATAGCGATCAACCCGGCCTTCAAGTTCCCACATGTGGGTCCCTACACACACTTACAATCATTGCACGAAGTGCCCAATTAGAAGACAACCGTTTGAGAGCCCTCAAGCGTGCCACTACACGATTCCTAGGGCTTCAACGCCGCGACTCAGCGTGACCGTAGCGCCTTGGCAGTCCTAGACCGTACCAGGATACCATCCCCGCGCCTTCGGCAGAGCGAATCAACGTGACTCTTGCGCCCGGACAGTGGTAGACCGCGCAAGAACACCATTCCTGGCACTTCAACCCAACGAATTCTGAAAGCTAGCGCATCATGCCAAATACGATCGTGCGCGGCGCTGAGGCGAGAGCAACACTCTAAAACAGAGCGGGCTTCCACCCTTGAAACTGCTGCATGGTTTAACACGAATGGAGGCGAAACGAAGGCTAGAGCCACATAAACAAAACGAGATGCTCTTGCAGAAGTGTTGGACAAGTCTGCGCGGCGCTAGAGTGAGGGCCGCCTTCCTCAAGCAGTGTTGGCACTCAGGGGCTCTTAATTCGTGTAAAAAAGAACTTGGCCTGGGCGTCGGTCTAGCCAGCGTGTTGCCGCCGTTGCCGCCGTCCGTCGCTGCTGCTGCTGGGCCTGGGTGTCGGTGGACGACCTTGGCGTCGCCGTCGCCGCCCATCGGCGCGCCCGTCGCCGCAGCTCCGCTGCACCCGCGCAACCCGTCGCATTGCAACAGATGGCAAGCGATTGCAATATATTCTCCTTTTTTCTAAAAACGGAATAGACTCTACCCCCCTTCTGATATCATCCCACCCCTTTTTCGCATTGCAATGTATACAAGGATGTTGCTTCATAGCCCATCCTTAACATGAGCTCGTACCATCCCAGACGAGCCGGCATCGCCCCCCCGCCATCCTCCGCAAAATAATTTTTGCGCGCGCACTCGTTTATAAAAAACATCCGTTCAATAATCCCTTGCTGAAAACGGAACAACGTGCACACGCGCGCGTCGTCGCGTGCGAATGGTGTCGGCATGCGGCACGAGAGGCCCGCTTGGAAGAATTCCATGAACATGTTGGGAAAACCATGTTTCTGCAAGACTTCACAAGAGCGCGAACGCCCGCTCTTTTGAAATTTGACGTTGCGGAACCATGTGTGTTTTGTATGTTTTGTCGACACTCCTTTTTCAATTCGTTATACGAAACCGAAATATGTTGACGGATTCAGGCATGCGCGCGACGACGCGCGCGTGCATTGCGTCCCGTTCTTTGCAAAGGATTCCTCTCGCGACGGCACGCGCGCAACGGCTTCCGAACGATTTTGGCATGCGCGCGCGAAGCCCGTTGAGTAACTGTTCAGAACATGTTGAAACAATTGTTTTCTTCAGGATTCGCAAGAGCGCGCGCACAAGCT